TTGCTGCGGTATACATTTTATACTATTATTAATATAATAAACTATTCAATACAGTGAAAATTTTATTTACGAATAAAGGCAAAAACATTTTTGTCAGCTTTCACTGTATTTATTATTTATGAATTATTTTTACTATACTGTCTTCTAAGTTGCTTCGAACTGAACACAGTGAGCTAAATTTTACTAAAATCGGTTCAGTAGTTTAGGATCCCATCGCGAACAAACAACGTGACAAGTGCTTTTTATATATAAAGATATATACGCATATTCCAACTGCACTCTACTCTTTCGCTAAACATGTATTGGTGTGTGTTCATTACATACATTCCTCTTCAAAACTATTTCAATTTCCTTGCTTCTAAGCTAGTTCTCATCTATTTCCGTGTATATACATATATATTTAAGTATGYATRTGTGTGTGCACATTCACTTTCCTTTAATTGAAATCTTTTAATTAGTTTGATTTGCCTTATCAAGCGTAAGTCAACGCCGTAATTAACTTATGTGTGGCAGCAAACATTTGGAAATCGAGACCCACTTGCAAGCACTGCTCATTCGTAACGCAACGTCAGCATTACGTACTCGCATAAGTATGTACTGTACGTACACTCCTCCCAGCCTCACACACATCAATAAAGTTCACAATATATTTGAAAAGGCTGCTCAACATATTCACTGATTGCTTAATAGTTATCACTGAAGTGTATTAATGCCATTTTACATACTTTTTCATTTAAGTTAGATCTGTGTCAGTTTATAAAGGCACAGTGGAACAAGTAGATGCTTGTTGGAATAGACATATTTTACTAAACATATATATTTGACTGTAGCTATTTTAAATTTTAAGTACCATATTTACAAAGCTACTTAAATTGTGGTATGCTTCCTTTATGTCTTGCCTCAGAATTATCTCAAAAGGATGAAGATATTATCTATAGATGGGGTAATTTTGTCCATCAATATAATCTATMATAATATATTTCTCAGAATGATAAAAAAAACGTAAACTCAAAACCATATTTCTACTACACCGAACCAGGCGGCGTCAACGCAAGTCAACTTGTTTGCTGCAAAATATGTTTTCGACTCCAAAACGAAGTCTTGTTTTTCTTGTTTGGAACCAAATGGASAAAAGTAKSMTAWGGCGTAAGYACGCAAGTTCTATAATATCTTTATRTTCATYTATAATACCTTWAAATAGATCCCATGSTGGATAAACAGAAAGCTGAKATAAATCAAAAATCTTCATATTAAAGAATGTAATTGATTTTTTATTCACGTTCTTGGCAGGTGGCTCCACGTAGATTTTTTTTTTTAATTTTCTGGTAACCTGTTATACGCTTTCTTCAAAGCAATTTATATCATATTCTATCATCCAGTTTCTATTTTAAAGAYATACTTATGCTTATTGTTGAAATACTTAAAAACTCGACCGAAATTCTATTCCTATATATCTCTTATAATTTATGATCCACCTCACAGAGCCCAAGAACGTATAGCCTGCACTGAGCCGCTGGCTATGCGTATAGTGAGCTTCTTCAGATACTGTTTAATGTTCTGAGGGAAATTTATTTGGAAACTGTCAAGATACTCTGGACTCAAACTTTCAGATAACTTTAGCGCACTACAAATACAAGTAAATGCCGTTAGAGATAGGAATTCTCACCGTTTACTGGTCAGGCGGTCAATGATGTGCACATGAATCTAATTTGGATATGGTAAGCTTACTRGTTGAAAGACCCTTAAGGTTACTAACGTGTAGTAAGAGATCTGTTATTCTCTTACGGTTTATTAACAGTTTTACTCARTTTTTACTGATACTGGTCTGTAAAAATTGGAAAGAGTCTAGTAAACAGGAAACTGTCAATAATAAAGTCTCTAATTTTTTCRAAACCKCACAGTAAAGTWATAAATATAATACGRCACCTAAGATAATCGATAATCTCARCACTTTCTTCATTATAATCCTGCYTTTCGCACAGTGRCTTCARAAKATCSACTCTAAACTTAACCTAAGTACTATTAAGTTACTTCCTAATRTCCACTGCTTGGAGGATGGAGCATAAGTTATGAGATATGAGAGAGATATTGACAACTTGACAACTTTAACGCCAGGGTGGGCACAGAAGGCATCTTTGGCACAACGGCCGGTAATTCAGCCTCCACAGTGAAACATTCCCATATGAGTTTATACAACACTCCTGCTCAGAAATCCAATCTATCATCTATCATGCATGTTAACATTTACCGCTCTTCGGGATAATTTCGAATTCAAAACACGTTGCTTATACGCACTGTCGCTCATCATCGACAGGAAGTAGTATAACTAATTTTCAGTCTCATAATTATTATCATCCCATGTGCGGATGATGAGGATAAGTTCATATTTTGTACAATATCTATATTTTAAAATATATATTTAATGACAATTATGAGTTGTTGGGTATTATTAAAGATTAAATATCAAAATTCAAATTGTTATATTAGCTACTTATAACAAACCTAAGTGACTCTATTTAATGCATAAGACTGTATATCAGAATAATATCCATATTGCGTATAATGCGCTAAATGAGCAATTCAGTGTTGTTGTGAAGTGTACTTCAGACATCCCGAATTACGTTGAGTGCACTAGCACGAGTACGTAATTCAAACTGACAAAGGCTTTGAGCRCATGCACCAATAAAATAAATATCACGTTGAGCGTATGTTCGCCGCCGCATTTCATTACACTGATTATCCTTATCTTCATTCAAGTACATTTCAACTTTGACGCTTCACTTTCAGCGCATTGAAAGCCATAAAAGCACACGCACACACGCAGAACAAAGAGACTAATATATACATACTTTTATGTGGCATAACTTTGCACCAAATTCGTTAATAATATATGACAAATATTATATGATTAGAAGTGTTTATTCATATGTATGTATATACGCTTATCCGTCAAGTAACTATGGTAAATGTAGCGCGGAAATTTTTACTCTTCTGAAGATATCCACACTTAAATCCAGACCACTTACAATGGTAAGGAGAACTCGACTGACTATTTTTTTTTTTTTAAGTATAAATAAATTAAAATATATTTGAAAATTGAATTGCCTTGGATTTGTATGAGCAATACTGTTACTGATATAGACTCTGCCACGCCCAACTACATTACTACTATATATAACTGTTTTGTTAAAAAATTTTCCTAATTATATTGATAAAGCCTCCACTAAAATTAAGAGTACTCCAAACCAATTAAAACTATGCCAACGGAGTACAAGTATATCCTATGAATTAAAGACTTGTTTCTGATTTCTGTTTMGATTTGAAATGCGTCGAATGACAAATCGTACAAAATACTTGAATCTTTTGTAAAATCATACAAAGCGCTCGAATTGGGGAGTTGAATTAAGGGTATAAGATATTTCTCTTGACTAAAAATAAGCATACTTTAAAACACTCAAGAAAGCGCCAATCAGAAGCGCCCATTGAGCTCCCAACCAACAGAGTGCTCTAGAATATATTCCAGTAAAATTTATGAACGTAACTTACACTTCAATCACGTCAATGTGGTATATACCTGTAGGTGCTGCCGTAATTCAAGGATCCCAAATTTAAGTGAAAATTGTGGAGCCCACAAAGCCTAATATAACAAGCACCTGTCAAAAATCAATGCCCAARGTTCCCACAGCAAASATAAWGTAGCAGTTTACAGGTGGACGGAAAATATACCCCAACTCAGCCACATATGCCTCCATCTTCGTAGATCCTTCACGATATCCAGGCATAGAGAAGACGGATGATAAGAATAAGAATAGGAAAAACGAGAGAAATATGCAGGGTTATTAACAAAAACACCTGGGGACTTGGGTATAAATAGTAAACTCGGTGTTTGAGCAGAGCCACCTGACTTAATCGTTGCCAAATTGGATTCTAACACTCTTCTCCACAAACGAAATAAGGGCAAGTGATTCAGAGCATATCCTAAATTGCCACAAGTCCCCAGTTTACCCTCGAAAACTATTTCTATTGAATATGTTCAACACATTCCTTGAAGCCGGATTATTCACTGAACTACTGGATAAAGTAACAGTTGGTGCTAATCGGTAAGGGAAAAAGAGACCCCAACTGGCCATCAGCAGACCGTCAGCTATGCATGCTTACATGCAAATAGTGCTATGAAGGGCTACTTAAACCAAGATTCCAAGCGGCTATCAACGGAACTGAAAGACTTTCTCCTAGACCACACGACTTTATATCCGGCAGATAAACTCTAGAAGATATAAAATGCGTCATTGAAAGTGAAAAGGCCACACAGCGTAGATGCCATAATTATAAAGTAATAATAGTGTTGCTGGCGACTTTAAACRTCCAAAATGCCATCAACAGAGCTATAATCAATAAAATCCCCGACTACCTTGGCATACGAAAGGAAAAAGCTGTGGGAACTAAGGAAAGCATCCAAAAATAACAAGAGCGCAATCGAACAAATGAAGAAAGATATAATAACAACATGGCAACGAAGATAGGAAAATKAAATTCGCGCTAGATGAATGACCAGACTAATAAAAGACCTAAACTTATGGAATTCGACAACTCAACTGTTATCTGRCACCGCTTTAGAAGGGTTGGTTGGCCAAATAAATGTGAACAATTTAATCACTGGGGGATTATCCAAAAACTCGCAGCAATTTTGCTACGAAGCAAAAAGCGGGATCTGAACGCAGCTGCGTAGATGTAAATCGCTCATTGAGAAAAATGGAATGCCACCCCGAAGTAGTACAAGTGTGGTTCCAGGATGGGTGACAGTACCTCAGAAGGGGCGTTTTWCTGACCTGCAARTCCCACATACYGTTGCTGCGACGACAACACTGATGATGCGAAATTATTATTCATATTAATATTTTTGGTATTAAAAATTTTAATAATTTTAACTTACAATTAAAGAAATAACAAATATTTTGCATAAGTTATTCAATAATATGTAGCTCAAGCTTTCAGGAATTTCAACGTAGTGCCAGTGTTATTGGTATAATTGCGCTACCGTTGCCTCTCGTGTGATATATGAAGTGATCCAGCAAATACATTCTATACGGCTTGATGAAATTGTAGGCAATGAGTGTATCCGAGCAGCACGTTAAGTCCTTTTAGAAATAAATATTAATATTACTCAGAAATCTTATAATTGTACATTGGTTTACCTCTGCGCTTTTGAAAATGCTGTAATCCCTAGGCCAAGACGTTAGGTAGGGTACAAAACGGCCGCAACCATGCTGATCACGTGAGTCGACGGCGATTACACCAACGTTTCCCAGACATTCACCCAACTCTACGGTTTCGGTGCGGGTGCCGTTCTGAATGCAAAGCTTGTCGTTTGGTAGAGCTTTTTCGACGAAACGCCGGAGCGCCGCTTTACTAAGCACATAGCCAGCATTGGCGGAAATTTGATCCTAACAGAATTGTTATTTAGCGCTTTAACTTATTTAATCTATTTATGTATAGGATATAATAGAATAGATTTGAGTATCTTTCACGAATATTACGAACATTCGTTTATATGTGGTACCCATGATATATACAAACTTTCTCCCTACTGTTTCTGACAGCTTCTTTACTAAATGGGAATCCTCCCTTAACTCAGAACTCACTCAATTCGTATAGACTTTAACTCCATTTTGGCTTGGGGTAGAGRAAAGCTCTACAGAACTGTAATATGGAAAGCTTTCAAAAAATTATCATGCAACCACAATGCTACATTAACGCGGATTTCCTCCAAATTCGACCACCCTCCCTTACGAGTTATTATATTACTATATAAAAAATCCCAGACTTTCACCAACCCAAAACTATCTATTTCACTTATTCCAAAAATACCTTAACTTTGTGACCGAAATATATAGGCGTCTCCGGCGAATAAGTATAGAGAAAGTATCGCATGTTTTCCATAATTGCATAACTGAAATCAGTATCATTTTTATAATCAAAAAGCCTTYGGTCAACGCACTACTACTCACGTCTTATCATCCGCCCTAAAGAACCAATCCGCATCGTCGAAATGGTTTGCGTATATATACTTGAGCGCCGCTTGTGTTTTTGACCATGCATTTTCCGAGTCTTTCTGCTTAGTACCCAATTCTTGATCATGCTGCAAGCTCACAAAGATTAGCTTATTGCAGCGTGTTCCCCATGTACGTTTTACATGCTGTTCTTTAGATTTATCATGCTKCTGATTTGTCGCGATCCAGCAGAGCACACGTACCGTTTGACTCAAGTGTGTCGGTCTGCTATTATTTTCGTTTTTCACCGCAATCATGTCACGCTGCCTATGAGTTGCTGCTTGGATGAGTTCGCGGTAATATGTAGGCCAAAACGAAAAAATTACGGCAAGCAGGGCACCATAAACCAGACCCGTGATGAAATATAGCAGCAAATGTCGTTTCCTCTTCGGCATATGGRTTTTAGCGGTCATTATTAATAATTATAATAATATTTTAACAGCAATTTTTYAAATTGTAGCGATGAGAATTGCCGAGTTTAGTAAACTTTGACTGTCAATTGTCAAATGATAAAGGAAATTTATGGAGTGGTATCGGAGTCTTCGAAGCATGGCATTAAACAGAAATCTGTAATATAATATGAAGCAATAGCTTCAGCTGCTTCATCCAGCAATAAGGCAGAGAAAGTATTTGTACAGAACCGTATTTTATATAGATCCSCGTTTCCGCCCATGACTTATTAGCACTTGAATTAGATAGTTGATATCATTTTGTGCTGACAACACCATCAAACTATCTTGGAACAAGCACAAGTTCCGAAGCCAGGTTTTATTAAAACAAAAATGTTCAGAAACCATATTTACAATCTCACAACTTAAGAGCTCTTCCAGGCTTTGATTTTCCACAGATTGAAATTGCCGAATCGAACAGATAATTGGTATAAAATAAATAAACAGGCAAATGAAATTACAACAAATGGCAAATAATTACACTACTTCACTAAGATAACTACAGATTAGCTGTCATCGATTCGAATTCCGCTGGATCACATGGGTTTTGCCCTCACATATAGCAGAATAACAGGCAGYTGGGCCATGAAAAATTTTATATACGTAATACTACTCATACTCGACGTTATGCTCTGGTATAAAAARTCTTTATTTTTTTTTTAATAAAATCAAGTCAAAAGTCAAGTTATTGCCACGAAAGGCACGATTCAACTGTTCAAATATAAATAAATAATAYATGTATATTAATGCTTTCGATTCATCTCTGCAATAAGCAAGTCGAGTATATAATATTGAATTTTATTCCAATGATATTTGAGAATAATATATGTATGTATACCATCTGATCAAATTTGGAACAACCCGGTCTGACAAAAAAGAATTTTTTTTATAAAATACTTTATTGTCGCTTACAAAATTGGCTTCTGAGCCAATAAAAGAATCGGCTGGGATGACCTTCAATTCATTCAAAGAATTTTGTTTACCAGTCGATTGAGAGTGAAAYAGTTTCAACATCTGCGTTTGATTAGTGTAGGGTAATCAGTCTCATTAAAACATCTCTTTTGCTAGCCAGGAAATGTATTGAGTAAATATAAAAGAGACGTTGAGATTTTTTGCTATTATTGCGATTGGCATTACCAATACCACGATTTTCAASCACTGCCTTTAAATCGTATTCTTTGCTGTGGTCGTCATCAAAAGGCAKGGTCTCACAACCGGAACTGTGGTGAGTCACAAACCCTGCGCACAACCCTGGGGAGCGATGATTTGCCTTCTCACTTTACTTCGCCTTCAAATGGATKTTTGTTGGCYACACAGAGGGTACTTGGTAGAAGACCGAAAGTCGTGAGCTGCATGAGCCATATGTAAAAGAGTCGTTTCTAGGCACTCCAAAGTGAATGGCGCTCTACATATAACTTCATCCTCCAACGTCAGCCCCGAAGTTCAACGCAGAGTAACTCTTGTACTAGTAAAGTTCTCTCTCGACGTAAAAGGACCAAATTCTATAAGTCACTCATCCTCTCGTTCTGTTACATGGTGCAGAGGCATGGACGATGACAATATCTGATGAGTTGGCGTTACGAGTTTTTGAGAGAAAGGTTCTGTGGTAAATTTATGATCCTTTGTGCATTGCCAGCGGCAAATACCGTATTCGATGGAATGATCCACTCTACGAGATATACGACTATAACAYAGTTCAGTGAATTAAAAGACAGCGACTATGCTGGCTCAGTCATGCCGTCCGAATGAATCAAAACACACCAGCACTGAGCGAAAAGCGTTGTTTACGCGAATAAAAAAAGAACTTTCTAGGACTTTCTGGATATTGTCGACATTAAGAGAACTGAGTACACGATGACATTCAAATGCTTGTGCGATAGAAAAGGCTCCAAAAAAATTTTCAACGATTACGTAATCTTGATTCTATGAAAAACAAAGAATTTCAAGTAAATTTATAGTTGAATTCTAAAACACTAACTAATCGGCTTGTGGAGATCACACTTTGCAGSTTCATAAAAGTGGGTTTTCATACAAATATTGGTATGTAACTGTATTCGTGCGGTTACCAAGATATGACGGAACTTGATTATTATTCCGTGGTTCCGCTATGTCCAACATACTTTGAAAAACTACAGTAATTGTGCTTTTTTTCCATATAGTAAATCTAAACTACAATAGCTTTTTGATTAAAATTGATCGAATTTTGTGTCTGAAAAAAATAATTTCTTTTCATTCTTCTCTCTCTTCTATTTTAATATGAATAAAACGTCAACCGAAAGTCATTGCTTAATGGTGGAAGTTTGTGGTGAATTGGCTTTAGCTGACCTGATTTAAAAGTGATGATTTTGCTTGGAATACAAAGAGCGTCTTAGACGGCCAAAAAAGTTTAATGAAAATTATTGCTATACACGTGGAGAGCTCCCAACGATCTCTTAGGAGTTACTCAAACAGTGAAATTTTTTGAAAAAAGTCGGATACTCTCAAAAGCAAGTAAGTTCGATAAATTGAAACCAAGARACTTAAGAGATAAAACATCGGAGATGGTTTTACAGTCAGGAATCAATTTCTAATACTATAAAAATCCATTTTGATAGTTTTAAATGCAAAAACTCATATGTGAACCATGGCCAATCAGAGAAATCAACGAAAAAGTATTTGGTGTGCTGAATTACGAGTATTCCAAAGCATTATTAAGCAATGCTGCTGACAACATATCACCAAATTAAAATGATGATTACAAAAAAAAATCTTGTAATTTCTTCGGTGTCACATTATGAGAGTGGTTAAAAAAGGTTTGGTCCGGTTAAGTTTAATGGCTCTGGAGAGATCGCACGAAAACTATTATATATATAGTCCTTTTTGAAGCCATAGAAAAGAAGGACTCATTTTATCGAATTTATAAATTTGTAAAATGCTTAACAGCCAATACAAATTTGCACAGAATTGAATTCCGATTCCSGCCAGTTGGATGGAACGTCTGAAGGTATGTGCTTAAAAAGAAAGTTTTGAGTTGTTTCCACGTCACCTTCTTCCCTACAGCTTTTGCAGATGGCGTCTGGTAAAATTCCCAGCCTTACAGCATAGATGCCAATAGGGAAATACCCWGTTAAAAKCYCCACAACTAGGGAGATGCTAGCCTTACTGAAGGCAAAAGCTTGACATCAGTGCTTAAATAATCACCTCCAAAATTCAATCTCCTTTCAATGAGATCGCTGACTTCATCTTAAACACGCAATTAAAAATCAATGGTTAGATTTCAAAGCATCATAGTATACTATCTTATAAAGACTGCTTCCTTGCGTACACTAATCCAAGAATAATCTTTTCGTTATCGAATTATCTCCAAGTGCAAGGCACATCGCATAGCTAAGAGCAAATCAACTAAATTTTAGAGAGGTCTACGACTACGAAATTTAACAACAAACAAGAGATAAATGTATTTTTAAATATTTATTTTTGAAATACATATGGCGATGGTGAATACGGGCTTTGAATATAAATAACAAAACACTGTTGTGATATATATTCATAGAATAAATCAATAAATAAAATAAGTCTTAAAGTGCCTTATAAACACAAACCTTATATGAAAACAGCCTACACATTGTGCTGTTTACTAATTATTTTTAAGCAGTCAGCGCTCTCTRAACCCAGTAGCCAGCTGTTCAAATATTAGCACTCAAAATACGCTCAGCAAAATTCCGAAATTATCTATACTTCTTTCTTAGAAACAATATTTCCCCTAAGCAATTACCTGAGAGAAATACTGTAAACTATTTAGAGCTCTCATTAAAGCCTCAAAAAACTGGCAAAGAAACCAACTGTGCTCATAACAACAGAAGTTTGTGCGACTCTGCAAGTCTCGCTTTAACTTATCGTCACTAAACAAAAAATTTATATTTTTGCCGCGAGAAATTCATGAAGCAGTAGYAAGGCAAAGGCAGAGGCGGCAGCAAGTAGCCAGAATAATAACTCGCATATTTTCGCAGCACCACAAATCTTTCTGGTTATTCGGAGAGAGCTTTTATGTACGTAGCGGCATGTGTGTGGCCACTCGCTGTGAAAGTTAACTCGTTAACATGCAAAATTATGCAGGATTTAAATTACTTGCGCTGCCAAATAGCTAAAGCTACAGCCAGATCCAGCTTCAGCACTAACCAACCAACCAACCAACCAACCAACAACAACAAAGCCCCAACATATGCATACATAATTAACGCGCGCGCGAATGCAAGCGGAGAAAAAAAAAACATGTTGCAGAAAGAATTTGCGTAAATAAGTCGAAATAGGATAAGCAGAAGAGAGTGAATTACTTAGGATTTCGGGCAAGCGCTATGAAATTAAAAACTTGTTGGGAATGACACGAATGGAAAGTTAGTTGATAAAAACGTTTTGCTTCTAGGAAAAAGTATGTGATTGGAACTAGTRAAGGTATAGTTTATTTCGGACCGAAGACGATATAGTAAGCTGACAGGTATTTTTTCGGAAAARTTCCCATACGATACTTCAAACCTTTTGATGTCATCAACTGCCGCTTTCTAAAGATAACAAAATGGAAATTTTCAGAACATGTTTAAATAAATTAAATTGGGTTCCTGCATGTCTTCCGAATTTTTATCCTCAAAAATCCGCTATAAGGATCGATGGGTATATGAAAAGGCCTAAACAAGGATACATCCCACGGCTGCTGAATCGAACACTTTCAAAGCTGAAGTGTYCGGACAACTTGACCTACCTAGCGTARCCGCTGTCTTTGWATTCGCTGAGCTATGTCCATATCGCCGCCTACAACTTCAACCCTGAAAACTTTGACTGCGTTGCAGAGATTGCTCGTAGTAGCCTTTTCTCTCTTCAAGACGAAAGATATGTTGACGGGAAAATTCATTGAATTCGCAGTGAGTTTTTTCACGAAGGAWTCAAAGCTATCAGGCTGGTGAAAGAGTTTTCTGTAAAGAGTTCTCCGTCCACTTAGCTTTAGGCTGCTCACTATAGTGTTATCAATGCAGAAGTGGCAGTTTATAAGGGAGGTGAGCATTCACACCGACAGCTAAAAGCTTATGAAAGAGTGCGTTTCCTCACCGGAAATAAGTCAAAACAAWAYCGCTTCTACCRGCAAAGTACAAKAACCCGGTTCATATCGTAATGGGATCTAGCTGGGTCTTCAATTGTCTTCTTACGTTTTAATGGATCTCCCGTACGCTTGGCAGGCGTTTGTCGACTACCAGCCTCTGTGTGACTTATAGATCTTTCTAGTCTAGARTTCTGGCAAGAGTTCTACTGAACTAATTGTTCTTAGCAAAGTTTATTTCACTGCAAACGTAGGTATTCTGCCCAATATACATTCACATCGTAAAGTTAAAAATCTTCTCGAATGCATGTTATCAATGTTGTATGAAGGAAGATGAGGGCCAAGCATCTCAACCATTTTCGAGCCTTGCAAGACTGAGATTGAAGCATCTCAGCAGTCGCACCCACGTCGTACAGGAGACATAGGTGAAACTGGTATTAGCCGGCTGCGTAAGAGTCTTATGATTTTCTATACAAGGTGCTTCCCAAAGTAAACAGGCATTTTTGAATCCAGCGTCCCCTGGTGGCGCCATCAATGAGAATTTCATTACATTTCATAGATTGGAAGTGAAGTTATTGCGTATTAAGAGTCAGTATGTTTGTGTTATCGGTGCGAAGATGAGCTTCGAACAAAGAGCCAACATTAAATTTTGTTTTGTTTGGTAAAACTTTTACCGAAACGTTTCAATTGCTGATTACCTATCCCGTAGCAGACTGCAAGAGTGGTTTCAAAATCCGTGATCACCGGAAATTCCATCGAAACTGTGCGTGAATTCATCAAAGATCAGCCGAAATCGTCATTGAAATTCATGAAAATGGAATTGAACATCTACAAAATATCGACTAATCGCATTTTGACCGAACATTTGTAGCTTACGAAAGATGTGTTTAGCCCGAATATCGCGAAGATGAAAGTTGGGATTTGTTGCAAAATAATGCGCCGTGTCATCTATCGACGCTTGTGACCGATTATTTGACCAAAAATCAAGATTTGAACCATTAACCATTCCCCGTTTTCACCTGATATGGCACCGTGCGGCTTCTTCCTTTTCGGAAAAATGCAATTGGACATGAAAGGAAATCGTGAAAACTAAATTGATTTTGCCAGAAAATTTGGTAATAGACAACGCTTGACAAACTTCTACCAATTGATCCACAACCAAACACAAAAAGCTGACCTAAACACATTTTAGCTGACACTCCACTCTCTAAGCCTAAAAACAATCATGAAGATTCCTAGGAATTATAGCACGAAACCTCTCCGGAAGCATTATCCATTCAATACTTCATAATGAAAAAGTTTGATAAATGACAAATAAGGAACGTAGTTTTTCGAATTTTAAGATGCAGCAGTATTTACAGTTTCGGCGAAAGAATAAATCCATGTCTAAGCCTAGATAAGGGACTGGCATTAAGTTAGCAGTAGATATAGGAGGATTTTAGGGCGAAAGATACTGTCTGTCCTCACTACAGATAGCATCAAGCTACTTCATTATCAGACTCGCTTGTGTGCCTAATCTTAACGAAAACGCGGGTAAATACAAGGCTGCCTGGTGAGTTTGCATAAGAAGTCCCACTTGCCATGATTAAATTGGATTGGGAACGAGTTATTTATACGTTCTCCTTTCAACTTATCTTGAGATCAGCATTCGCTTGTCAACAACTAGTTTGTGGATGGCTGTGGGACCAGTATTTTGTCCAACGTTAATTTTTGGAGTTGTATATATGGTGGAAACATCGAAGTACTTAATTCTTCATTGTTCAACGATTGTAAGACTGGGGTTAAAACATCTCCATAGTCCTTTTGTTGGGGACCTGGTGAAGAAAACTTGAACTCACCTTAGCCCTTTTAAAAAAATTTGTGGCAGGCTCAAGGTGTTCTGTTGGGTTTTTACGAAAGGAACCGGTGTTCTTAGCTACCTAAGGAGGTTTGGCTGAACCTTGTAACCTAACCTAAATTAAAAACAAGTCAACATTTCTCAAGCTTTGTATCCCGTATACTGACCCAATCTAGATCAACAGAAAAAAATAAATAGCTGACAACTGTGGCACAATAGGCACTTATAGTATAACCGATATCCGTGAACACTAAGAGTTTATACAAATATCTTTAGAATTCTATCATATTTTCACACAAAGTAACTTGATCCCAAAAATTAAGATTGAAAACTGTGCAAATCAAGAATCAGTTTGAATTATTTGTAGGAGTTTCGGATACCAGGATTTTTAGCAAAATAAATTCAAACTAATTAGCATTTTCTATAAAATTATCTATAAAATTTAGCTGCGCAGTCAAAATCGCTCTGAATAACGAAAAATTTGTGGCGATCTGTTGAGCCCCTAATGCCTGTTACAAGTCAATTTTCACTAACCAACTTTTTGACTGTATGGTTAAAATAACAGACTGGAATAAATGCTAGCACACAAACACGCTGACGGAATTGGAGTCTGGCAACACTTTTCAAGCGACAGCAAACAGACATGCAAGAAGATTTCCCGTCAGCGGTACGCCGTGCAACTCATATTGCAAACAGCGTCGAATGTTACGCCGCTAAGATATATTTACACATCCACTGAATCAACATACATACATTTTCATGCGACACGCTTACGCATAATTCATTGCAGCTGCACCAAAATAAAGAGTGAAGGAAGTCATCTTAAACGGTTTGCTACAGCGGATCGCTTAAGAGAAGAACAGCCAGCCGAATAGCCGGATGCCAGCTGTTGACTGTGAAAAACTTTTAAATATATTAAAGTCCGTACGAGCAGATAGCGAACAAGTAAAGAACGGAGCGCCGAGAGGCAACGGAATACAATTAAGCACACAACTAAAGATGCCTGAACGAAAGAGTATGAAACTCCATGGAAAAGAAATTATATAAAGAAAAAACCTAGAGACTAAGAAGGAGATTACAAGGAGATACAGAAGAAGACAGCAAGAAAACACGCTAGACCAACGTCGAGCGCCAACCCTACAATGCGTACACGAGTTTTGCTTTTCTTCCATCACCCAACACTCGACATACTTGGTACAGCGCGTGCTGAGATGACAGACGAAAAAAGACTGTGGAAATTAGACACTTCAAGGATTTCAAATGGAAGCAGATGGAGCAAGGACTTTAAGACTTTCAACTAGCAGAAGATGAAGCACGGACATACGCCGCGCACTCTCTCACTCACTCGATCTGCTACATGAAGAACAGTCTATCYGTATAGATAGCTATAAGTATGYATCTACAGCTKCTTGAAATAATTTACTAGCATACTCGCACCTTTAAATGTTGTCAGACTTGCTGCCGTTACACCTTTTGTTTGTAGTTCTAGTTAAACTCGCACATCCAGCCATACTTATGCTGCTGTATGTAGCTTTGGTGGCATGAAATTAGAGAAGTTTTCGCCATGGCGTAACTC